GCTTGCGGACACAATTGCAGATAGATAAACATTTTTTTATCTATAGACAAAAATATAAAAACTAAGTGCATACAAAATATAAAATCCTTACGTTCTCTGAGGTGGGGTGTGGCCAAGTCTGGGTCGGGGGGTCGCAGGCGGGCTGCGCGCGCGCGGGGAAGCTCTGCTTCCTGCGTGCCGTGCCCCCCGACATCGACGCACTACTCGTACGCCCCGAACTAGGCCAATCGCCATTCTGTCGTTAAAAATATATGTGTTATTGTTTGAATAAATACGTGTTTGTGATATTTTCTAATCTTTTTATATTTTAATGCAACACAACACTCAATCGGGAAAAAACAACTTTATATAAATTTTATTATAAAAAAAAATATTTTTCAAATATGAACAAGTTCTCTTTAATTCCGTGATGATGTAAGGTCACGGTACAAAAATAAAATGATTCACTAGGAACATAAAAAATGAGCATTTTCACATCTCAGTGTTGTTGACTCGGACAAAAACTCCACTCAATGACAACGGTCGACATCAGATATAATTATAATAGCATTGGTCAAATTATACTAATCTTGTAATTTTTCTCCATTTCAATATTCATTAAATAAAAGTGCAAGTTATGGATATGTTACGAGAGGTATTTACAAATGATATAACATTTTTTTTTATTATATTTTGAAGGGGGATCGAAGATTTTATTAGCAGATTAGGCGATGAGTAAACAGATACATTAGTTTAAACTTCTTTAAGGATTATTTTACGGTATCATTGTTCCTTCCTAATACCATACCATAGCCAAACGACTAGAGCCAAAGCTTATTAGACGATTAACTCCCAAAACTACCATATATTGGCACAGGAGTCTAAAGAACATTGTTCGTAAGTGTAGGTCAGGAATCAAACTTGTGTATTGTATGTAAATTATCTAAGAAATAACAGGACAATAATAGTTTTAGTGCCAATAGGACATTTATACTTAATTTTACCAAAATACTCCTCCTTTTCCCTCTTATATCCGGTTCATGCAAATATTAAAGGCCAATGACTTGACAATGAAAAACGTTGAAAATTCGTATGATAATTCCCCAACAGGAAATAATATAATAAAACAACCTTACAAGGCCTCGACTGAGGTCATACTGACGATTCTACAACACGTAGTGAGGAAGATTTAATGATTGTAATATAAAACGAAGTACATAAGATGGACGACACAATAAACACGGTAAGAAAAGTTACAGATAACAAAGTAAACTGTTCTTGAAGAATATATAAGCAGTAATGTTTCTGCAGGTTTTATGCGAGTACAATAACCGATAAAGCGTCCGTGACCTAAAACTAATATTCACCTCGCGCATACAAACGATGCAGTTCGTAATTATAAGTAAAAACTTAAACTCACGTGCTTCTAGTGCAATAAAACAACGATTTATCTACACATTGCATATGGAATAAACCTATTATTACCTAAGAACTTACGTCTTAACGTAGTAAACAATACAATAGTCAACCAACTCTTTCAATATTTTAACTTTTTTCAGTTTTATTGTTTAAAAATAGAACTTTATATTGTCAGCTATGTATTTATACCGTACTTTGTTTACGTGATGGGTCAATTACTAGCAACCTTAAGGAAAACTCTATTTCCCTTGATACGACAATAACACGTCGTTTTGTATGCACTAAACAATTCAATTTATTTCAACAGGCGCCAGTTTTATCTCGCGCCCGGCCAATACTGGACCGATTGACGGTTTCACTCAGATTTCTATATATTTTTAATGTTAACAAAGTGCTCTATAAACTATTTATAGTTATTTAATGGTGACTATAATCGTGTGTAAAATTGCAATAAATAAATTTAGTTCTAGTTAATGTTTATATTGATAAACTACTATTTGTAAAGAAAGACAGTAATCAAGAGGTAACTAAATATTTTTAGAATATCATAAGAAATAAGTAAAGCTAAATATTCATTATTTGTAAGTGGCAACGTAATTTAGATTTATTCGCTATTCGCTATTTACATTATCAGCTTTCTAACGTGGTAACAGGATTTCCTGTAAATTATCTAATCTTAAGTATTTACCTCTGGCAGATAAAATTTTATTAGAATAATTCTAATTACTAATCTTAGACATTTTAACTTGATTCTTTGCATATATTTATATGCTTAAAAAATAATAGTCTAATATCCAATTTTACCGTTATTGTTTGTCGATTTTTTTTCCTATTCTTGTTTTCATTAGTAAAACTATATGCTCGGTCTATGGTAGCACTTTATTCAAAGGTAATATATCTGGACATTTTTATCAACGAACAAACATTTTTAATTCTAAGCCAAACTAATTATTAGATTACCATCGTATAAAGCCTTAGTCAGGTTAATCTATTTTAATAGACATACTAACAAACAAGTATACAAATAACTAAAAATTGTAAAAATAATTATTTATTAAATTCCTTTTTACGGTACATTTTAGTACGTTTTTTAATATATTTAACCAGCTGCGCGATGCTCAGCGCTTTTATTCCTATTTCACTCGGATGAGTGTAAGAGGATTCTTACGCTCTGCGAAACCTACTGTTTTCGTTGCACAACGAAAAATGGTCCTAGCCGCTAATTATCAACAAGTTGTATACAATGGGTCAGGGGTTTAAGCACCAAGATGAATTATTAAGCAATTTGACTTGTACTCTATAGGTCCTGGGTTTGAATCTCTCCATGTTGCAATATGATTTTCGAAATGAATATGCACATAATTTACCTGACATTTTGCACAGTGTAGGAAAACATTTTGATGCAACCTGCACATATCGGTAAAGAAATTCAAAGACAAGTGAAGTCCACATTGGAATAGCGTTGTTGACTATGGTATTGTACCCCTTACTTAGGGTAGGCTCGGAGCACTTAGTGGGCACTTATAGAAGCTGGTGATGATACGATTATTTTGTATGGCTCAGGGGGTTTAAGTATTTGACTCGTTATCTACAGAGAGTGGATTCGATTTCCGCCATGTACCAATGTGATGTAATTTACCCGACGTTCTTACGGTGAAGGAAAACATCGTGATGAGATGCATATATCGGTGTAGAAATTCAAAGATACGTGTGGAGTTAAACCAACCCGCAGTGGGCCAGCGTGTTTGGCGGTCTAGGCTACTTTGGGATAGTCTTAGAGCCCCTATAGGGAGGTATAGTGAGTTGGTGATGATAGTATTGTGTGGTTGGTATGTTGACTGACCGGTGAGACAGTTCCGTTGTGCAGCAGGGAGGTCGGCAGCGGCGAGGTGGCCGTGCGCAGCGGGGACACCGTCATGCCGAGGTGCTTGCTGTTGATGAGCCGGCGCAGCAGCTGCGTCGCCTCCCCACCACGACCTGTGAGTACTACTTCTTTATTATTTTCGTTATAGAGTTTAAAAGTTTACAAAGTTTTAATTAACTACGTGAAGTTTTAGAAATGTAACAATAAAAGTTTATCACAAGCAAGCAATAAGTATTCAGATACTTAAATGAAATTATAAAACATGCTAAATGAGCAAGCTCTTGTTAAAATAGCACGTTACAAGTATATTGAATAAACATAAACATAAACATAAACAATCGGATATTTCGAGTTCATTGATTTCCAAAAATTTCTCCGAAAATCGGTTTAATAAATGCGTTGTCCAAAATAAGATAAATATGAAAGATCTTTTTCTTACGCGAAATAGCTGCATGAATTTATTTAAGTTTTTGTCTAAAAATGATCTAGGCGCTAATGAATGTCATCAGAAAATGCTGTTAGAAAATATAAGATTTCTTGGAGCTGTTATCCCTCCACCGTATTGCATTCTTCTGGGTGTTAACGCACGCATGCCCAGATTTTTTTACGATATTACTACCGTTCTGTCTACGAAGAGCCTGCCACAAGGACTCTTTGACGTTTTCACCTTCGTGCGGGGGCTTCGGCGACGACTGCGTGGACGGCACCGATTGCGTCTCCTCCGGATCGTCCTGAAAAAATTATAACAACAAAATTTAGATACTTTATCGCTTAATTACTACCATCTTTTTGGGAAAATCAGACTAACCTGTGACATCTCTGATATATCCATTTGTAATCTGTCAGGATCGGAGCCGCTACTGCTTTGACTGCACTCCTCGTAGATGTCTTTCGTTTGCTTCGCTTTGCTGCCGGCTCGCCCGAAAACGTGTTGCTTGTACTCATCGGCAAAGTTGACGTTTTTACTGTTCGACACCGTCCTGTGTACGTACAATTTGAGAGATTCTGTGTCCGCTTGCTCGGCGTGGTCGACGGGTTCCGTTTTAAGAGAGCTGTATAGAGATAGATCCATTTCCTTATTGTCATGGTCGTCGTTGCTGCTGGGGCTGGCGGCGGGCTGCGTCGCGCCGTACGTGTACTGCTCCTCGGCGTACTCCTGGCTGTAGCCGCCCTCTGTGGCGCTCGCCGGGTGCGTTCGGTCGATCACGCTCGCATAGTTCGGAGGGAAGCTCTGAGATTCTTCGCTGTCGCGCTGCGCGACCGCCACCGCCTTGCTTATTATATCTATGACTGCATTACAGTGCATCACCTCTCTCGCTCTATCGGAGGGAGGTAAACTGGGTACGTTGTTGAACATTATATGCGGACCTTCCTCGGACTTCACATATTTCATAGGATCGTAGTTCTTGATCTGCAGAAGTGTGACCGCCGCCTGCCTGCTCTCTAGATTTTTCATCTCCTCTGTTGAGTCCGGGGACCCGACTTCGTCGTATTTGCTTTTCATCACTTGATCGTATTCATTCTCGGGGAACGGTTTGATAATCTCTTCGAGCTTATCGGACGCTATGCTGAGCACCTCCTAAAAATAAAAATGAACAGTTTAAACAAACTTCGATCCATATTAGTAGCACGATAACACTAATAAACATTAACCAATGACGCGTTCGTTTATTCTATGTCATGCCGCGATATCACTCGCCTCTTAACTGATAAGATAGTGTGCATTTGTATTGGAAGGTGCCGGAGCAGTATCCTTTATAATTTTAATGAGAATGTGGCATCAGAGAGAGTTGAAGCTAGTGAGTTGCGCATAAATTATCTGTCGGTCGGAGGTTTATTGTGTGACGGCGTGTGCGGTCAATTAGCGCTAATGGTGATGTTTGTTGTAGGTGTTAGTGTTGTTGTGTGTGGTTGCTGTAAGCGGCGCGGCCGCGGGCGGGGGTGAGACCGCGGGCTGCGACGTGTCCCTGCAGGACGTCAACAACCTGACTCTCAACTGCTCCCGCCGCGGCCTGCACACCGTGCCAACAACATGGCCACAGAAAATCGAAAATAGCGTGGACAAAGGTACGAATTCAATACGAAATTATAACGTGCTTGCAATATAATAAGAAAAGATGTATATTTTTAATGTTTTTGATAAACAAAATGCAATCCTATCCTAAAACTGCTTTTGTCTCTTCTAAAGCGATGTTGGAACCATAACTGCAGCCGCCCGTTTTATCTATTGTTATTGAAGAAAACATAGTTTAACTGCCCTGTTAACAAGAATTCATTATCAGGTTCTCGCTGATAGATAACAATGTATATGATATTGATAATTGAGAAGCACACTTTTTATTATTACATAAGACAGATGTAATACCCTCAGTTTATTGCAGAAGAACAAATTATTCTTTCATCCTTTTAAAATATTCACACCTAAAGATAGCTAAACCTTTATAAAAGCTGTATGCTTTTAAGTTCTATGTAATATTTCGGTTATTTTTCGTAAGTGTTATACTGTGTAGATATCAGTCTAATATTAAGATCATTGTGAACAATTACATGTTATTCATTAGTTCAATAAATAATGTGTTTGTTCGTATGTACAAACACAAGCGTTTACTTTGATAATACATATAATAAGCTACTTGCGCGTTACCATTGTTCGAAGAAAACCTAAAACTGCAGACAACAAAACAAAATACATCAAAACGAAATTTACTCCTTTTATGATATTGCATAACGTTTTAAAGATTATAGATTTAAAAAGCACTTAATAGCATCAAAATTTGTGGGGTATTAGAAAAGGGCTGCATTAAAAGCACACGAAACCAAATATGAATGTGGATGAACCGCGAAAGGTTTGCTGGGACCGCGTGAAATTGAAGTCTATAATCTTTATCTACCCATTTAAGGTACGGGCGTGCGGTGCATTGTTTAAAAATTCGCGTTATCGAGTAGAGAGTCCCGAGGTAGTTGGGGTAAATTTATATCAATAAAAAAGACTATTATTCCAGGAAACTTAATTTTACATAAACTAATTCACTTTTAGATAACACTGGCTTCTGGTGAAAAAAAAAAAACAGTCTTAAAACAATTCAACGTTGATCCATTACAAAACATTTTTTTTATGTTGGTATAATAACGACTCTCGAATTAGTAAACTTTAAATCCAATTTTCAAATGAAAATGTAATTTTTATTGTTTGATTGTCTATTGTCGAGTGAAAACACCTTTACACAAAATTCATTTTATTTATAAGTAAACTATCAAACAAAGATATGCTTTTTGTGCCTATCTGTTACAACTAGGTTATCCGCAAACATAACAGATAAGCGATCTAGGTAACATATTCAATATCGAATGGGAAAGTAAACTCAGGCAAGTGTAGTTAAAGGTAACTACTATCAGAATCAGATGACATCGATTAGTTTAAATATTTGTCAATATTGAATCGATTCTCAACCTTTTTTTTTTCGCCCGAGGGGAATGCTTTATGCATAGGTACTGCCGTCCCCG